GGAAACACCAATAAATCATCTCAGCATAAGGCTGGCCAGCCTGGGGGTCAAAAGACTAAAAATATAAATAGTTTTAAAATATTGAGCGGAGTACGTTTTTCTGTTTTTCATTCCTAATAGTGTCTATTTACATTACAATAAAGTCACAAATGCAGGACTCCTAAAGATTATGAACATTCTCTCAGATTCAACTACTATTTTTCATCTCTTCATGTATTTTTGGGGGAAAAAACAACTAAATTCAGATAGCAGAAGTTCAGTCCAGAAACTTAATAGACAAGGGCAGTCCTAAAAGGGAAAATATTTATATATCACAGACCCATCACTATTCAAAACTCTTGTAAATGGTATTAAAATATCTCCCCTAAAAATCCCAACTCTGTCCACAGTGTGTATTGAAGAAAAAAATGTCATGAGTTCATATTATTAAAGTCCCACAAGTAAGTCTCTCTCTCAAACAATGGCCACCTAGAATCAAAACTTCTGAATCAAAACTTCTAAAATTATAGTATATGGACTACTGATGGGGTGCATGGAGCACTTGATGGCAAACTAGCTAATCAAATTATTAGCTGTTTTTTTCTCATTTCCAGTAGACACACTATATTTAAAAAAAGCCATTACAGGAATATATTCGTATTTCTTTACTATTCCTTGCCTGTGTTAGCAGCAATGATGGATGCCACAAAAATAATGTGCTAACACAGATGTAAAAGTGGTGCTGGTGGTGCAAGCAATTTTGCATGGGATAGGAAGCTGGTGCACATAATCTACTAATATTTTGACCAACTATGAAAACATCTAAGAAACCCTTCTCTAAGCTATGAAACTGACATAAATAATTAAAAGTGGGCTGAATTAACCTTAAATAGATTTAATATTTTTTCAGTGTTTGGTGATTACTATAATTTTGACATAATCTCTTGTGAACAGGAATTTTTAAGGTTCATGGAAATAATAGAAGATTTACTATATTGTCAGTCACATTACTTATAAAATCTGCTTTCACTGCTTCAAGAGGAAATCCTAAAATCTCACTAAAATAATTACATAATTGTTTGTTATAGTAAGTAGCAAGTACAGCAGATGGAAAGGTAATTATCCAAGACTAGCAGTGGGTCCAGCCAAAGCGTCTTTCCAAGAGACTTCAAGATGACAAGTATGGTGGGATTTACAAGAAAGTTACAGATCATGTAATTTGCCAGGCGTATCATTACTCTACTTCTGAGAAATAATACTGCCATCTGTATTAAGGAAGTACAAGAGGAATTGAAGTCACTACATGTCAGTAACTTTTCATTAATTGAGCTGAAGTGCTTGTGTAATTTCTGTTTACCGATAATCTATATTATAACCATTCCACCAGGAGTAGCCTCTGCCACTTGATGAGAATGTTCAATAGTCTGTATACACGTTTATGACAAGTACAAAACAGAATTATCGATATCTGACATGAAATCAAGCACTAAGTTTCTGAATGGTATTTTTATTACAAGTTTACTGGTTTTGGATGGAATTCAACATCCTTTTCTATTATAGTTCTTAAAGTTAATGTACTAAATGTCTAATAAACAACTAAAGCTTTCTGTTAAAATAAACAAATGGTTAATTGACGGAAAAATCGTCTTTTTATAGAGGTTCTAACTGTAGAAAATAAAACAGGCATTGATCCAGGGGCTGACATTTTCTTCCAAAGAAATTAAAATGGATTTTTTAAAAACAGGAATGCTAATATTATAGGATTTTTGCTTCTTTAGAAATTGTTTATATTCTTTATAAAGATACATTTTTATTAAAAGAGAAAAATGGCTCTCAAAATGTGTTTATCCGGGGTAGAGTAGAGCAAGAAGTTATATCTGTGTGACTCACCAATCTTTTGATGATTCTCAATAAAAGCTTCTGCTGTTTCAGATCCTTCTTGGACTTCAATACTTCAGCAAAACTATCCATGTTTTCTGGAGACATACTGTCCACATTGTCCCCTCCATACAGTTGAACCAACAATGACAAGCACTGTGATGCAGTTTCATATATTTCAGTGTCATCACTAGGAAGCTAAAATAAACAAACACACACAAGTTTCACAAAATTCTGTATCATTGGGAGCTGAGAAGAGTACTACATTTTATGTTCTAGTAGGAAGCAACATTTTCTATTAATCTTAATTGAAATCACATTATTAAAGATCAGTAAACTTTTTAAGTGATTGAAAGACAATTAAAATGCAGCTTTTCTTGATCAGCAGTGTGTGTCTGCAGTGTCCCTGTAGTAATTCTTCAGACATCCACCAGCAAACAAAGCAGTCTTTCATTATATCCACACAGCTGTTTTCATAAAACTACATTAAAATGGAAGATATATGCATTAATATTCCAAAGACATATGACACTGTATGACACCTATCAGTGTATAGCTTCCTGTGAGAGGATCTCTCAGGTTATTCTTTAGCTTTTTAGTTTTATTACCTGAATTTACTTTCCTCTTGTTAAAAGTCTCATATAGTTGATATTTAATAACTTATTCCTTGTCTCGCTTATATATGCATCTGACAATGTAAGTGACAAATTAATGTTTTATACAACAAGGCAAACAGTAAAAGAAATTACATTTTATAGTTATATGCCAAATTCTGAATTCAGTTGACTTCATTGACAGTTTTGATCAACTTAATTTTTCTTTTACTGGAAAAACAGCATTTTAGTTACATGAAAAAGATATTAAACATTAAGAATCTATACTATTTTAAAAGCACCTCTTAATAGAACATATTATATCACATTATATCAGACTAAGGGTATGTCTACACTACAAAGTTAATTCGAAATAACAGCAGTTACTTCAAATTAACTTTAATAGCGTCTACACAGGCAAACCACTATTTCAAAATAAATTTGAAATAGTGGAGCCCTTATTTCGAATTTGGTAAGCCTCATTCTATAAGGAGTAACACCAAATTCGAAATAGCTATTTTTAAATAAGTGCTGTGTAGACACTTAATTTGAAATAGGGGGCCTTCAGCCCGTCTCAGGGAGCCCTGGTGGCCGCTCTGGGCACAACCAGGAAAACTTACTCTCCTCTCCCCCAGCCCTGAGCCATTAAAGGGGTAGACCCTGGCCACAGTGCTTGTGCCAGCTTCAAGCCTGCCAGCCCAGAGCCAGCAGTGGCCACTGGGGCCCCTGACCCAGATCCCCCAAAACATGAGCCAGCAAGCCACTGGCAGCCAGCCCTCCACCACTCCCCCGGAGCAGTCCGCCAGCTCCCCAGAAGGGCACTTTCCTGGTCCAGGGTGGAGATCATGGACCTTATTTAGGTTTGGGGGGGATGTCCCCAACATCCATACTCTCCGCACTAGACGGAGGAATGAGGCCATCTATGGCAGGATAGCTGCCAGCCTGGCCACCAAAGGCACCATAGACATATCTAGCAGAATTTTCATTTTGTTTTTTCAGTCTTCCAGAGGTTTATGTTTTTGGCCTCTTGACTGTAAAGGAGTATTAGTTCCTCCCTGCATGTGGCTGTTACTATTCTGGGTGGCTGACCATTTGCATTGCTAGTGCAGGACCTAAAATCACACTAGCTACACTCTCAAATGAATGTCCACAGGAAAATGTTTAAAGACAAAATACCCTCTATTGGTGCAGTTACTGTCTGACCTAGTAATCCATATCTTTAAAGGAAACCTGCACAACACTTTCAACAAGTGAGTCTGGGAGCTTAAATGAATTTCTCTGCTAGATACCAAAAATCATGAACTATACAGAGACACTGGATTTATGGTTTATCTTATGTTAAACAATGTGTTCCACATTCATTCTGCTGTGACGCATAGAGTACCTTTCCAAACTAGAAGAGCAGCTCTATGTGGCTCAAAAACATGTCTCTTTCATCAACAAAAGTCTGTCTCATAAAGGGTATTAACTCACCCACTTTGTCCCTCTGCTTATAAAAAGTACACATTAAAGTAGCTGAAGTTATAAGAATGAAACCCCTCCCCTCAAAACGATTTCCTATTCTGGGGTGAAATCTGTAAATAAAACAACTCCTTGTTACAATCTTGGTGCACATTGTGTGTCAAGTTTCAGTTTATTTAATTTTTATGGTCATGCTATAATCTCCTGAAACCAAATCCAAATTGTATTTAGTTCTGTCTGGCACAGACATTACTAGTTCCATGTAGTTTTAGACCAGGTTAAAATTAAACAGGAAGCTTTTTGTTATTATGGCCTTATATTTTGGTAATAAGTGCAAAGTGTATCTTCATTTTGAGCCCAGTTACAAATGCTCATGAATTACAAAGCACTGCAAGAAATATGTGAGATCATTTGAGCTGAAGTGGCACTTTTCACACGGAGGGAGTTGTTAGGGCATCTAATTTTAGAGCTACTATGAAACTGTCTGGAATATCCTGAGGGGAACTACTTCAGCACTTTAATGAGGTTATACACAAAGAAAGTTTATTATGATAAGAGATAGATGTTCATTAGATCAGTAATATGATTACAGAACATGGTGAACAAGATGGGCCATTGGGAGCTATAGGCAAGATGATTTTGCAAACATTAAACAAAATATAAAAGCAAAACCTCATTATTATACTTATTAATAAAGATTCACACTGTTAAATATGGTTTTTTTTGAAAAAAAAGGAAACTACATTTGGCTTTGAAAGCAAATTATAGACTATCAAGCCAAGAAAAAACACATTTTAGGAAGGACTCTTCTTAGCTCACATTAATATAGGCTAATTGTCAAGAAATCAAAGGCACCATTCTGAAATTCTTTACTTACAATAACATATTATTTCCCCGGTGGTTTCTTTATGTAATTCTACCAAGGACAACTGCTCTATATTCAGCCTGGTGGACTTCAAAGTGGGTGTGTACTGACACAGGTGTTTGTACAAATTAATCAAAAAGTTGTACAATTTCAAGGAAGATCATGGTAATTCCTTTTCCTATTGCTGTATATTATACAGAGAAGAAATCTTTATGCCCAGCCATAAATAGCTAACATCTACTAATATGTAGTATCTGAGAACTGTCTATAGTCATAAGAAATGGGTGGGAGTCTATATATGTTACTATTCTTTCTACTGACATTTTGACGCCTCAAAAGCAACTGCTTTCCTGTGTTTTGAAACGGAAGCCACAGCATAATCTTGGGAAATTAGTAATACAGGCAGTCCCCGGGTTACGTACAAGATAGGGACTGTAGGTTTGTTCTTAAGTTGAATCTGTATGTAAGTCGGAACTGGTGTCCAGATTCAGCGGCTGCTGAAACTGACCAGCGGCTTACTACAGGAAGCCCGAGGCAGAGTTGCTCTGCCGACTTAAAAATGAGAAATGGTAGAAAAGGAAGAGAACCTGCATCCAATATAGATCACTGGTTCAGGAAAGACCATTCCCAGAGCTCCCACCTCAGTCACATTATATTTTTTTGTTTGGCCCTTCATATTCTAGTAGCCGAATTTACTGTATATTTTAGAGTTTTTGTCTGTTTCATCAAGAACTCCTCCTAAATTGGGGGTCTCAAACTCCTAGCTTGTAGGCCAACCCCAGACAGAGTGACTACGCAATACAGTTCAGGATTCCTGGAGGGCCGGGGACAGCTGTCCAATACCAACCCCCAAGCCCTGTTCCTTCCCACCATCACCCCACCCCAGCACATCATCCCCTGAGCACATGGCTTTGAGGATCAACAGAGATAAAATAGAGAAATTTGGAGTAGTGCTCTATATAGGCACAGCTAAATCAGTGTTTAAGATATGAACACTAAAAGACAAAGTAATTGGAAACCACATTGATCATATCCCTTTTTTGTTAAAACACAGCGAATGATAAGTGTTTTGTTTTCTTCCACAGTTTATATGGATGAATAAAAAATACACTACAGGCAGTCTCCGACTTACGCGGATCCGACTTATGTCGGATCCACAGTTACGAACGGGGCTGCCCTGGAGGACACGGACTGCGGGACCTCGCGGTCCTGCCGCCCATGTACTCCGGGGCTTTCTCCGCGCCTCCCTGGTCTGCAGACCAGGAAGATGTGGAGCAAAGCTGCGGAGGGGCTCGGGCAGCGGGGCAGCCTGCCCCGCTGCCCGAGCCCCCCCGCGGCTTTGCAAAGCCTGGGGAAGCCGGCAGCGGGACAGCCCAGACACCCCGCGGCTGTCCCGCTGCCGGCATCCTCAGAGGCTTTGCTTCCCGTCTCCAGCAGACCAGGGAGACGGGCAGCAAACCCCGTTCGTAACTGCGGATCCGACATAAGTCGGATCCGCATAACTCGGGGACTGCCTGTATTGCCAGTTGTCTATGGTATCAAAACCCTGAAGAAGCCTTTCCAACAAGATTATCCCTTACTAATTTGATATGCAGTAAGAGGGACAGAAAGATAATCAAGCATCAGTGCAGCGATACATACAGGCTACGTCTAGACTGGCATGGTTTTCCACAGATGCTTTTAATGGAAAAGTTTTTCCGTTAAAAGCATTTGCGGAAAAGCACGTCTAGATTGGCATGGACACTTTTCCGCAAAAGCACTTTTTGCGGAAAAGCGTCCGGGCCAATCTAGACGCGGGTGTGCGCAAGAAAGCCCCGATCGCCATTTTCGCCATCGGGGCTTTTTTGCGCAAAACAGTTTTTAACTGTCTACACTGGCCCTCTTGCGCAAAAACATTTCCAGAAAAGGACTTTTGCCCAAATAGGAAAGTCAAAGCATTTGCGCAAGAAGCACTGATTTCGGACAGTAGAACGTCAGTGCTTTTGCTAAATGTTCAATCTATTTTGCTTTCATCGATCAATTAAAGACAAATACTGATCATGGGGTTAAATAATGAATTATCTATATTTATACTGTTTATGCATGATGAATTTTGTAATTCTCTTTGCTTCCATGTTCTTAAGAACTTAGCAGTTTAATTTTCATGCAGTCCAGGTCCCCTTATATACCCCTTATTTCAAAATAACAAGTGGACGTCCACACTTCCAAACCCGTTATTTCAAAACAACAGGCTGGTTATTTTGAAATAACAACTCTTGCTTTCCACAAGGAATAATGCT